TCGTTTTCTCCCCCTTCAAGTTCCCACCTATTCTCTGAAATTTACAATCTCCTCCTGTCCTCTTCACTCTTTCTGTGATGGTATCTATGCTCCTGTCATTTTGCCTGCCGGTCTTTCGGTGATGTGTGTCCTTACTTGCTCTCCTGATGGCCAGAATAAAACACTGACTTTGACTTTCCTCTCCCATGGATTTTCCCTCTGGGTCTTGGTTCCTGTCTGTACGTGGGCCATTGTTCTGCCCTGTTTTTTCCAGTAGCTGTTGTTTGCTATAATGTCCCTCTGCTTTTGAACCTAGTCACCCTCTCAATCTGCGCCCAGCTGCTTCTTCCCTTTCACTCCTTGGCCCTGCTTGTGTGTGTCGTGTGGATTGGGTTGTGTATGTGTGGGGGGGTGGGTGTGTGTGTGTGTGTGTATATGTGTTGATGTGCGTGCAGTTTGAAGAGCCGTAAGATAATGTTCAGCAGGTGTCAGTAATACCTTGGTTGGGTTAGCAGCAGCATCGATCTCAACACTAATAAGCTCAGGAGTCAGGGGGATCCTCTCTACGTCTGCCTCAGTAGCTGCTCTTCCAACCGTTTCTGTTCAGGATGACAGAGTGAAAGTTACTCCTCAAGATCCAAAACTGTTTGGCGTATTAATATCCAAAACATATGCAAAGCTCACTGGGTTATTATAAGTTACACTAATTGAAATGTCTCAAACAACTCATAGTGGTTTTCAAATCGAGTAAAAATTCTGTTGAGAGTCTGTCCTTATATGTATATGATTAGCTTGAATAAGTAGAGAACATTTATTAAAGCAAGAACTGTAGATGAAAATTAAACAAATGTCCGACTTCTGGGTACCTTTATTCTAGACGTTTCGCCATCCAGGGGTTTTATCAATACAAAATCAAGGACATAATTTGAAGACAATAGAACTGTATACAAAAGATGAGGAAATCAGTCATCAGCCTTGGCTTGGGTTTGGTGTGAAGTGCACAGCTGTCGTAAAGAAAATGGAGCATAGGCAAGATGGCTCTCGCTTATATACTGGAATCTTGGTTCAGGGGGCATCTACACAACCTTTTTCACTACTGCGACTACTACTACTAACCCGTTCGTGGTGGTTTGACCAACTTCCACTGGAAATCCCACTTCCAGTGCAATGTCTTGTCTGTACCCATCCCTTACCACCTGACGCCAGTATATAAGCGCAAGTCTTTTTGCCTGTGCTCCAATTTCTTCAAGAATACGGTGCTCTTCACATCAATTCAAGGCTGAGAGACTGATTACCTCTCTTTTGGTATATAGTTCTACTGCACTTCTAAATTTAATACTTGGAGTATGTAGTGATAAAGCCACAACATGTGAAACGTCTACAATACAGATAACAGATGCTGCACATGTGTCTAATTTTCCACTTGCTTGGTATTGTATAACAATCATGTACAAGGTCTGTACACAAAGAGGGACAGACAGACAAAACAGACAGACCGCCATGACAGAACAGACAGGACAGACAGACAGACAGAAGGACAGACAGACAGACAGAAACACACATGAAGGAATATGTACAACAATGTGCGAGGAGGGCGGAGGAGAGGTTTTACCCAAGGGAAAACAGAAAATAATCGGAAAAAGCCAGAGAATGGAAAGGAAAGTATAGAAGGCAAAGGACCAGGAAATAAGGAGGCAGTCGTTAGGAGCTCTGAAATGAATATGCACAGATAAGATGGGAGGCCAACGCCATGTGGAAGAAAAGACATAGCAGCGGCGAAAGCCAAATATGACCCGAAAGAGTTATACAGGCTCATCAGGAGGAGAAACCAACAGTCAAAGGACCAGGTATCAGCTAGGAAAGAAGGAGAGAGACAACAAGAAAATGACCGTGAAGAATGTGAGGAACTAAACAAGAGGATTCAAGAAGTGTTACAGAAGGGGCTCCAGAAATGACGGATGAGGTTGAGTACACCACCAAGTGGCTGGACACAGCTACATACCAACGAGGAAGAAGTGAAGAGACTTCTGAGTGAACTAGTACCTCAGAAGGCAATGTGGGGCTGGATAACATCTCTCAATGGGTCCTGAGGGAGAGGGAGCAGAGGAGTATGTGTACCCCTAAAATCAATGCTCATTAAATCTATCGAAAACAGGAGATTGCGCTGACGGCATGGAAGACAGCAAATGTAGTCCAATCTTTAAAAAAGGAGACAGACATGGAGCACTAAACTACAGACAGTGTCACGACATGTATAGTATGCAAAGTCATGGAGACAGTTTATCAGGAGCAAGAGTGCTGGAAAACACTAGAAAGGAATGATCTCTTCATCAGCAGCCAACATGGTTTCAGGGACGGGAATCCTGTGTCACAAATCTTCTGGAGTTCTATGACAGGGACCAGCAGTAAGTCGATTGAGAGAGAGGGGTGGGTGGATTGCATTTTCTGAACTGTAAGTAAGGCGCTTGACACAGTTTCACACGTAGAGATTAGTGCAAAAACTGGAGGGACCAACAGGGAT